TGCAAGGTACTGTAAGTAATTTACCGTAACATCTTGAAATTAGTGTAATTTGTCGTAAAATAATTTAAATATAGAGTATGGTGTAGGTAAAGTAAATAATCGAGAGCAAGTCATCTACTGTAACCAAGTTTATTGTAAACTATACTTTCTTAGTAGTGTTTTCTCAGTTATATTGTAAGTGACGTATTGTAACTGAGTCCTGTAGTGTATTGTAAGAAGAGTAATGTTTTGCAAAATGCCACTGAAAAAAGTAAAGAAATTCAAAAAAAAAAAAAACAGCTGGGACTCGGGAATATTTGTTAAGTAAAAATTTTTTTTCAGTTCACGGTAAACTCTGAAAGAAAAAAGTATCTTTTTTGCAGCATAATTTATATTTTGGTGTTAGCATGGACAACAGTAGCACGTAAGCTAAGATTATTATTAAATGAAAGAAATCACCTTCATTAAACAACAAGAAAACAAAATCATCAGAATCATTGAGCCTATCCGAGATATGAAAAATGATACTCGAAAATAATTTTTAAAAAGATTGAATTTTTAGAGAACATGTGTTTCTTTTCCCCTTCAAAAGCTGAGACATCTAACGCCAGAGCTCAGAAAGAACCGTTTTAATGAAACTAAACAATTCCTTTTTAACTGAATAGACCATTACACCCATCAGAAATCGTAAGAGCGTTCTCAAAGAAAAAAGATTGGGAGAGATGTACATTTTTGCGACACTGCGATTTAATTTAGCCTCGATCAGGATAATTGAGGCTCTCAAGTCTAGCTTCATTTTTTGATAAGAAGAATTTCAGAAAATTAGCGTGCAGAGACAGGCATTTTGGGGGGATATCTTATTTAGTCTTGACCTGACGAACGAAGACATTCAGCATCTTGGCTCTACGAATTTGTTCTGATCTCGATAAAAAATTCAGATCGACTTGTTTATCAGAGATTTATCAGAGTTCTGGGTAATGGTGATACAAATACTTGCAAAGTAAGAGATTTGATTTCAGTCTCGCGAGCAGCTACTTTAGACAACCTCTTCGTGTTAAGCTATTTATGCATTTTTTAGGGATGAATATCGTCCAATAAAAGTATAAAACGGTATTGCTATTTCGTTCTGTACTTTGCCACCTGATCCCATATTCGGCAGGCTATACTGTTGCTATGGTAACATGATATATCAAATGGATGGTCACAATTTCAGGATACCTAAGATAATTCTTTTTATCAAAAGAAAAGAGATGAACAGCTCTGTAAACTATTGAAAAGCAATTCAATCAGAAAGATATCTAAGAAATCAGGCATTGAAGAAATTACATTTGTATCTTTGTTTGCAATTTTACTTTATTTTCGACTCTCAAATGTTTTGAATTGGAGACCGTTAAATCCAGGTTTAGGTTTTTAATGTACACAACACTCACAATCAGGCAGTGCAAAAAACTTCGTTTTAAAAGAAATCATACACTAACCTTGTCAGAAGTTATCTTTTTTTAAAATCTTTGCTTGAATTGCCTGATCTCCAGAAGCTTTTTTTAATCCATGCTTGACGCTTTCTGCTAGAGAAGAAACCAGAAAGAGCTTATGACCATGCGTATAATTGCCTTTACGAATACACTGTTTATTGTGAACGATAAAGTTCAACTTTTGCATTAACAAAGAAAGAATTCTAAACTAGAGCCATCATAATTTTTATTTCATAACAACAATAACATCACTCCTATAACTCGTAAAAAGTTTAACTAGTCTTTGTATACAATGCATTCTCCAAATATACCTATCAAAATGAGACGGAAGCTATCACT